TGGTGAATAAACCACTTATTTCACCAGGAACGCACGAAAATGACTTGTTTATTGCTTAATTATGTATTAGATAAGGACATGGATGGATATGACTAGTGTCTGAACTCCTAATATAACAAGTTACCTGTAGACTGCCTCTATGGCAGTACTGTGAGACGATGCATATATGAAAGGGGTTTAAACACACACCAATGTATTGAATGAGGTTCACATGGTTAACATCCCTCACCTRAAAGTACATAAAAACTTAGAAACACTTTAAAAACTCTCTAAAGAAACCGCTGGTTAATGACCTGTTTCATCTCGATGAGCATGTCACGTGACAGACTGAGATTGTCCTTGCGGAGTCGTTTTAGTGCCACAAAATCGTTCTGAAAAATAAAATAAACGCAAAGTGCWTGAAACCATGGGAATGGGAATGAAATCGAAAATGAGAAATTTGGAGCGTCTTGTAGATTTGTAACACTCAGAACTTGTGAGCCCGGAAACAAAAGAAACCGGCCTCGCACGCTCAGTATTTGCTTTACTAGTATAGCTTACCTTGTACTGACCAAAGTTGCTTGAAAGTGGATTTGGGGTCTGTGTTTGAGAAAGCCTCGATAGTTTGGACATAGTATCGTCGCAGTATCTGATAACCTGAGTGAGTTTMAATGTTTTATTAATATATAGTCACCTTTATGTAAAGTTACAGTCGTAATAGACTAAAAAAGTTCCATTTTTGTTTGATTTCACAATTGTTTAATCAAAACTTGCTCTGTGCACAGCTTTTGATAGTTTTAGTCGCGCCGCACATGGCAGCGCGTTAGCCGCCGTTCATCAACGCATCTAAATTTGAGTATTGTTTGGTTAAAAACAGAATGGTATCAAATCTTACCAATTGTTTTGCTAAGCACGATTATCAAATCAAACTTTGCAGCTTTGGTTTCAATATTTTTGTTCCCGCAGCACCTATCTAGAAAGGTCTTCCGTTCGTATTTTTGTTCGTATTTTAATTCGAGTTTTTATATTGTTTTGTTAGAGTAGTTACCTTACTAGCAAAGCGAACGTCTAGATTGACCGGCGAAATCTCACTATAATCAATGATCCATGCCTTGCTCAAAAGTTCGTTTTCATATTTTCTTTTTCTGCAGGAAAGTCAAATTGTTTTATTACTAGTGTTAAAATTATCATTATTATTATTATCATCATCATTATCATCATCATCATCACTATCATCATCTTCATTATCATCATCATCACTATCATCATTATCATCATCATTATTATCATCATCATTATCATCATCATTATCATCATCATTATCATCATCATCATTATCATCATCATTATCATCATCATTATCATCATCATCATCACTATCATCATCATCATTATCATCATCATCATTATCATCATCATTATCATTATTATCATCATCATTATCATCATTATCATCATTATCATCATCATCACTATCATCATCATCATTATCATCATCATTATCATCACTATCATCATCATCATTATCAGTCATTATCATCATCATCATTATCATCATCATCATCACCATCATCATACCTGCAATAAAATATCAGAGCAGACACGCTTAAAAATATCGCAACGACCACACCAGTGATGATAGCGTTCCGAGCAGTTGAATTTATGACATCTATTTAGAATAATAACATGTTATAAGGCAAAAATTTTCAAAACTGAAAATATAAATCAAAGATTAGCTATTCTTTTATAAGAAGGTTGTTATTGAATTGTCTTAGTCAAGTACCTTTTGGAGGACAAGGAATGAATACACACTTTGGGTTATCGTCAGGAGTTATCACACCTCCTCCAGGCCATACGGTCGACGTGTCGAAGTTTCTTTTCACAGAACCATTAAACCAAAGCTCCATCAGTGGRATTGTGTCGTTCTTTAAGATATTCTCGAAGACAAATGTTGGAACGCGATTTCCTCTGTCGTCGATCATAATTGGGCCAGTCATTCCTGATAGGAATATAATACAATAAKTCGATAATAAATGTGTTGTTGTACTGTGTTGTTCAAGTTTAGTAGTTATATTGCGTGTTTTCGAATTCAGACCTCGTGGTAGTGCTGATGGCTTTCCAAAAGAACAAAAGTTTTAACACTTTTGACATAAAAGATTATTTTTACTGGCAGACTGAGTAAGTAAATAAGAGTTATAAGAAAGGAACAAATCTCTCACYCACTCTTTCACTCATTTTCTTGTAAACTTGGTAGCCTAAGTAAATGAAATTATAAGAAGGGAACAAATCACTCACTCTCTCATTCACTTTCTTGTAAACTTGTCACTTTAAATTCAATCATTCACTCTTGTGAACTGAAGTGGAAGGCTCCCTACCTTTGAACAGAGGCGAAGGTGCTATCATGTGTTTGAATATAGATTTGCCGTCATTCAGGTCGTTGTTGTCTTGAAGCGTTTGATTGACAGCGTGGGCGTACAGTAGAATGGCATCATGGAGGTATGCGGCAGTTCTCTCAGCCTATTATACAATATATTACATGCTAGTTATTTGACAATTATTCAAGCTAGTAACCTTTAAATGAGTAATTTGGTAAAAAATATTTTCACAATATACAAGCATTTAGCTTTGCTCATGCAAGCTTGTAAGTCTTATAATATTTGAAAATGTTAAGATCCCATAATCTGCAAATGGTCTCCTTATGGAGCTTAGTAAAGCACTTACCGCTAGAGAAACTGTAAAGTTTGGATCCTTTAAGAGTCCTTGTTCCAGCAGCCATTTTCCTGTTTCTTTTCTTTCTGACATTGAAGGCCTTTTGACCGTTAGAGAGATGATACCGTTCARRGAGTCTAAGACATCTTCGTTCCTAAGCATTGAGTTTGTAATATAGAAATCTAAGGTTATGAAAGCATAGCTGCCATTCAGCATTCCTTGGTCTTTTGCCAGGGARACAAAGGTTGAAAATTGTGATCTTGTCGCCAGTATGAAAATTACTGAAACAGAGGGCATCAAAGATGTAAAAAMATCGAGTGAAGAATACTAGCAAATGAATAATATAACATCATCCTTGAAATATGAGATGCAAGAGTCATTCGCGTGAATTTCAATGACCATTTTATGTGAGATGGCAATGGTGCATTTTTTGAATTCTCACAAATATGAGGTCCGCGAAACATTGAGTAAAAAAAATACTCTAGGCCTCTGAAATTTAGCCAGAAAATGGATTTCAAAATAAATGTAATATTAACTTCTCTTGGAGCATGTTGGAACTTCAAAATTGAAAGCTTTTCTATTCAGTAAGATAAACTGCTTTGAAAGGGATACTCGTATATATACCTCGAGCATGTTTCTTGATCTCTTCCAGTATATCCATCCTTCTTTTATTAGCATCTACACCGTATCCTGCCACCAACTCAGCCTTGTAGTATGACACTGTTAGGTTATTCAGCACAAAATGATCTCTAACTTCGCTAGCAATAGGTTCCCATATTCCATAACCACTGTTTCCATAGGGAGCGATAATGGCCGCYCTTTTCCAGTTATAATGCTCCATAATCTTTCTCAAGACCCTCGGTGTCATGKCAGAGTATGTTCTACTGAATGCTTGTGTACGGGCAAAAGTAGGGAATTTTTTTTTGTTCTCAAGGTCCGTCGAGGAACATGAGTAAGAGATCATCACCTTGTTCCAGTAGTTTGCTAGCAGCCCTGTGTTTAAGAGAAAAAGMTTTTGTTTAAGGAACACTGAACTCACTGACGGACATTTTCAGAAATTTGAATCAAATTACAAGACTGCTTTCACGATATTTGCCAAAGTATACGAACGAAGTTTCTTTGGCGATATTAACCTTATAATTCAGATTGAGAATGCTCTAAAACAAATTAAATGAATTAAATGAAATGCTCTGAAACTAGAGCATACTAAAAGAACCGTCTAAAAAAAGTAAAGCTAGATTGCTGTTTACAAAACGCCCTGAAGAACAACAACATGTACTTCCGTCAATCCCATAGTGCTTCACGACAAACATCCCATGACGTCAYTTTAGGAAAGTCACATTACCTGCACTCAAACATCCTTCAGAGCAACCAGGACCAATGATGGCATTTACTGGTGGATTAAAGTGAAGCATTTCAGATGCCAACCCCGCCGCGATGTAAGAAGAACACTGGCTGTTACGAGTTGTGTATGTGATGTTATAGCCTTGTAATAAKTCCAAGTTGTTGACAGCACTTATAGCTCGGTCTATGATAGGACGAATACCATTTCCAACATTCCAGGAACCATTGACTGGAATTAGAATTCCCAAGTGGATGTTGCTTGATCGAGTGGYGTGGAGCAAGGTCGACACTAAAATGAGCTTTAAACTGAGGAGTTCCATGAGTGAATCTGATAATCACGAAATCATAACAAGTCAGAGCAGTAGTTTAGACTTGATGGTATGTTTTTGCATTTTTGTATCCAGTTTCCATGGTTTGAGGACGGTGAATAACAAAATTACGCATCAACATGAACAAGGTTTTAATCCTAGTAAAATACCGAAGGAATGRTGTGTTCTTATGCAAAAGTCTCACCCACAAAAACACTCGGAACAACTTTAACAACGATGGCACCCCCTACGTACAGTTGAATGTTTTGACAGAAGGGAAGCGCCAAAGGACCCGGAAAAAAGCTCTCAAAGCGASAAGGAGACCGAACTTAAATATTTTAGTAAATATAAAAAACGGAAATATACATTTTGATATTTTTAGATTAATAAGGTTTAATACGAAACTATTCCGAACGGTGACCTATTAAATATCTTAAAAGATTAAGAGCGTGAAATGCAGAAAGAGCAAAAGTATCTACCAGGCTTYTTTGGGGATTCTCAYGAAAASGTTTGAGAACAAAGGAGGATTTACAYCTGACAAAGATATAGTTATTGCACCAGARTATTCCTTCAATCAGAATTCAATTTCYAACATGTCATCGATCAGCAGTCCGGATTACATTTTAATGGTCCTGAAAGATTGCCTGCAGTTTGTCCCTCGGGTTACATACAAATTATCTCAGAATGAAAAATAATGAAATAAATATACGATATTGCAGATAATCTGCTCCGACAATTTTAAAAGTTTTTATTAGATAAAAGCAAAGTGGTGTTTATTGGCCAAACTAGATGTACATTAACATGTAAATTTTCGTCTGTAAAAATTGTGYGATTGAAATGACTATAATATATAAAATTTGTACATCCGTCTTTCAGCAAACAGATTTGTGAACTAACTGTTTTAAGTTAAACAAAGAGGACTTTATGAAATATTGAGTCTATGTTGTAAAATATGTTTTTTAAATCATTTTGTATTAGTTATGACTAAAAAAACATTAGTTGAATATTGTGCAGCACCGTCAATAATTGCATTACAAATTTTATACCCTAAAGAATATCACAAAAAGACGAATAAAACCTAACGATTAGACTTTATCCACCGTAAAGAAAGTAGCTGTACTTACCACTACAAAAAAGCTCAATTACTCAAAGGAATAGGGATTTTCATGGCACATATTATTTTTGCYAACACAGCTGCAATTCAGACTTGCTTGATTACTACTACTTACTCAGGCGTCTTTTAGTTTCAATAAATGTAATTGCAAAGACCTCCAAAACGCGACTTTCTCACAGCTAACCAACTAACCCCACGCGTCTACAATTTGGAGCTTGTAATTTCATTACAGATGGTTTTCGTTTGGTTTTRAATTCGCTGTTGATTTGTTATAGTCGTAATGTAATAATAATCATTTCTGATTTAAAAGTCAAATAGGACATGCAAGCTTAATGAGATTTTTGCCGAAGTATAGTTTTCACAGTGTGGGATCATTAACTATGAAAAAAAATAAAGTCTATCTTATGAAAACAACCACTTCTAACCACAGTATAGCTATATCATAACGGTTTAACGAAAGAGAGTAATTATATTTTCTCTCATTTTTTTTTTCATTCATGACTTGGGACATGAAAAAAAGGCAATCTTTCAACAAAGTGTTCTACTCTTAATTTCTAGTGCTAACTCAAGTGGCAAAAGAGAATTTATCCTCAATAATATTTTTTGTTTTTTTATTTATGTAATAACACACCAGGCGAAAGCAGAAATTGTTTTGTAATTAAATTCAGTTTCAATGGAGCCATATTATGATTTTGACGGATATTCTCGTGTCTTTCAAAGAGAACAAAAGGGAACATAAGAAAATATTGACCTTTAGCGATAGAAATACATTCAATTTTTTTGGATATAACTATTTCTTTGAAGCGAAAGAAAGAAATGAAAACAAACCGCWAAAATAAAGAAAARGATCTCCGAAAGAACAGAAATGAGTTAATGAAGCAAAACTGCGACTTCTCTTGCACWYATTATTGAAGAYTTSAAAGTCCTTCTTGAACACAGACAGAACTCAAAAGACACAACACAAAAATTAATTATRATTTCAAGCGGTTTTCGAGCTGATTAGAACTGGTGTTTCACCTCATTTTTTGTTTATAGTATATTACAATTATGTGTAAATTGATTATTGGGGCTGATGTATTACAATATTGATGAATTATAATTTGTTAAAAGTAATTTTTTGTTGACATTTTTAACGGTGTGTGAGGCTTGTTGCAGTTTTCCGTATTCTCGCGCGCCAAAAGTTCTTCGTTTTATTTCCAACTCTCGATGTATCGCGACTGTATTAACTCAAATTTATAATTTCAAAGAAGAAAAGATGAAAACAGATTAAAATCATTTAATAATTATATGAACAACATTATGAATTATAAATGAAATACTTCTTATTGGCGGATCGCTTCTGTAGAATGTGTACGTTCGRGGCCGGTGAAAAGAGGAACTTGGATGCCTGCAGTCTAGTCCCTGTAATTCCTTCACTTTTTTCAGTACTTTACGATTCTTGTGCGGTAGTCAAGTCAAAGAAACCACCATTCACTTTATTTCTCCTATAATCTTATTATTTTAAAAAACCAAATAATCGTCCATATTACCAAGCAATTTCGAAGAGGTAAAGTGTGGTTTTCAGCGAACATAGAATKAGTTACTAAGGCAATAAACACAAARTAGAAAGGTTCTRCTTYMTTTTGTTGGGATATGACTATTAGACAGTGACTTTTACTAATTGCTTCCCAGTTAGATAAAAACCACTCGGTTTTTTCACACAGTATTAAACAAAACCGACACTAATTTAACTGTCAGTTCCTGTGCCCATATTTACTTTAACTACAGTCTCCGGTCAATACGAATACGAAAAGTGAGTTATAGTAGAGTGTCATAATGGCTTTAATCCCGCAAAGCGCAAATAATAGTACAAAGACAAGGAACTGGAAGCGTAAAAAGGTACTAACCAAAACACGATATATCGTGAAAAAGGTACTAACCAAAACCGTAAAAGCGTGAAAAGGTACTAACCAAAACCGTAAAAGCGTGAAAAGGTACTAACCAAAACCGTAAAAGCGTGAAAAGGTACTAACCAAAACCGTAAAAGCGTGAAAAGGTACTAACCAAAACCGTAAAAGCGTGAAAAGGTACTAACCAAAACCGTAAAAGCGTGAAAAGGGACTAACCAAAACCCTAAAAGCGTGAAAAGGGACTAACAAAAACACAAAAGGCGTGAAAAGGTACTAACCAAAACAGTGACAATAATGCAGTGTAGATTCAATAATTGAAAAATGATAAAATTGCAAGCACTTAGAGTGAAACAAAATCTAACAGTCAAAATTTACTGGTCCAATCGAATGTCGTCTCGCTTCGATGCAAAGGCACAGCTAGCTTTTCAAGATCTCACATGGAACAGTGAAGAAGACTATTCTTTCACGGATGTATTTTATGAATTTAGGATATAAAGAACAAAGGAAATCAAGGGTATCCTTTTAGGACCGACAGACATTCTTGACTGCATTAAACAACAGAAACGACTAGGTCTTAAAACATTTTTAGGAAATAATACCACCATGAACCGGCGGCCACTCAGTCGCTTTAGAAAACAGGCTGTTGCGAATCCGTTGAGTAATATGGATCTACACTGTGAGATATTATGAGAAGAATATATCCAAACAAATGGTGTTTTGAGATTTCGGGGCCTTGAAAGCCATAAAGGGCCAGCAGTAACCGCCTCACTTGATTGATCACAAAAAAAGGAATTTTCAAAATTCCGTGAAACAGGGTGTGATTGTCGAAGTGAGTGTGATTCAGCGAAAACACGATGAAAAACGTGCACAATTACGTCGATAGAAAATTGCAGTGCGCTGAGGTGTATTTCAAGTGTTTTTCTCTCTCTTATTTGAAGTTTTTTTTATTTGTATAATTTCACTCTACTTTTCAGTAAAAAAAGCCAACTTTACCTTTATTGTTAGCTTTCGATTTAAAGCAACTAAAGTTCCCGCTTTTCCTACCTCGATTTTTGACCAGTTTTCCGATTTCAAATACAGACCCTAATAATATATATTTCTTTTTTATTTGATATGAATTTCAAAGCCTCTATATTTTACCCTCTTTTTCTCTTGACAAGCCGAATATTTATTTTGGTTCTTACTCGCTTTCATAAATCTTTTGAGCAAACACTGAAATCTGTGTAAGCTTTTGACAACACGATAATGGAAGCTACATCTTATCCAAGAAAATATTGAAGTCGTACGCTTACATAGGCCCCTAGGAAGTRCCATTTTGAATGTTAAAAACCTAAGTCATGATAAAACAAGAATAAATCGCCGTAAATCATTTTAATATCAATTAATCCGAAAAAAATGGAAAATAAAATTGCTAATAACAATTTTTATGTTGAGTGCGATTTTATCTGGTGGAGGTTGGGCAATAATTGCTAAATAGATAACAGATTGTCGATATAAAAAGCAAGAAATTCGATAATGACACTCTCCTATAAAGAAAGCAGCACTTAAAATTGCAGTTTTTTAATAGTATTTGACGAAACTTTTATTAAGTATGTCGTTAAAAATTTAATCTTGTAAGGTGTAAGCACTAAATGGTTAAATATCGATGAGATTATTTCACAAATCCGCAATGGTAACCGTTACCAAGTTATTGGTTTCCGTTTTATATACGAAATGAACTCCCTCTTGTTTGTGAAGTGTGATTTTGAGCTTATTTAAACGGCTTTAAAACGTTTAAACCTCACCTTTTAACACATGTTACTCTTTAATYTGCGAWTCCTTCTAGTTAAAGCTGATGTGCTGTGTTTCCGAGTCACTTTCAACTCTGGCTGAGACGATTCCACAGTCTTCAAAGTCAAATAAAAACATACATTTACATAAAATGTCAGCCCGAAATTGAATTGAGTCCAATTTCACGTCGCATTTTTTATGCAATAGACTCGAGTACCTAGTAGAATAAAACACTGACACTTGTTTTACCAGTTCAAATATTGATAATATAAACGGTCGCTTGAAAAAGTATTTTTGTGTCTGAAGAAAGGATTTTTAAGTGAAATTGTGGGTGGTGGGAAATATTTGAGTTTGATAAGCACATACAGTGCAGACATTCATGCTGAAATGTTTTGCTACTTTGCGGAAAAAACAGCATGAATCCTTTTTCCAATATTCAAGATATCATTCCAGCTCTGTGGTCTATAGATCGAGACCAAAACAATATTACAGGCTGAACAGGCGGCAGACGAATACTGCATTTCCCGCTCGCTGATTTAAACAAACTTTCTTCTTGAAGTTTCCTTTTTTTCTTTCGTGTCCTACRAATAAACAGTAGTTTAATTAAAAAGACTCTTTTCTTCTACGGTATGAACCAGTATTTTCTGGAAAGGCTAATGTACTTTAATTAAMCAAAAAAAACATTAAGCTGACCAACCAATACGTAACTGATCGCAATCAGTCAAAATGGCCACTGGTAATAAAGATGAAATTCATTTCTCTCTTTCCAAGCTGAGGCGATTCTACTTGAGATTTGGCGTTTTTGAATTAAAAAATGTGTAATTTTCCTAAAAAAAAGAAAAATATATTTTTTGGGAAAACATTTTTTTAATGTAATTTTTTTTACCATAAGGTGACATTTATGCCCGTTTTTCCGATGTGTCAATTCTTTCGACTGCTTTTTCCGAAGACTATTTCTCATTTGACGAAAATGACGATATCTTTGTTCTTTTCCTTCATTTTCTTCTCGTGAATTTTACAAATAGA